CAAGACGACGCAACCGAGATGAAGATCCTCAAGAACGACATGTTCTTCCTCGAATAGATGGTGAGATACAACGCATTTGGTATCACGACCTTGGAAGAGATTCTCGATGTTTGGTGATATTATTGGAGATAGGAACGACTCCTGATGGTGTTTCAAATGTATTATTTGAAGGAAGTTATGAAGGCCTCAACAGTGATCAAATAACAGGGTGGTCTTCTCGCCCTGGAATGGGACACTATCGATGGCTAAGAGGACCCATCAACTATCTTCGAAGAGAACAAAGATCAGAGTATGTAGCAAATACAATTCGCCGCATATTAGATTTTCTCAATATATAATCACCGCTCCTCGTGGAACTCGTCCCTAGAAGGGGGGGTAATGTCACGGACATACATATAATTACCTATATGAATAGATAAAAGTATGTAAAAGTAGATAAAAGTAGGTTAATTATGTAATATCTTCTAGAGAAGCTTCTTAGAAGCTTCATAGACGCTGCTTTGACTTTATAGGAGTCTATAGTTGACTTTTAGGTTAGAAACTTGGTCAACAAGTTAGCCATGTACCACACATGTTGGAAGCTTAAAGAACAAACTAACTACGTGGTCCATCCATAGAAAACTTGCCTTGCAAGCAAAGGCATGTAGCCTAGAAAGTCAACATATATTGGAGGTCTTATAGAACATCGCTACGTGGCTTCTAGTTAGATAGTATATATAGAGGCAAGAGTGAAGCCCTCTTCACTCTTGTCAACTCCTTTCTTGCTTCTAGTCTAGTTTCAAGGGTCTCTAGTTTTCTTGTATTTTGGCAATAGCCATTCTAATTTCTTTCTTAATATACATATTTCTATTTTGTCCTATTTCTTTGAGAAAAGTCTCACTTACTCTTTAGCTTTCATCGAGTTCTTGTCCTTGACAGTACCTCATACAAAATCTATCACATGTAATGAAAGAGTTAAGCTTTTTCTTAACAACATCTATCTCTATCATAGATTGCCTAAAGATATTATATTAGATAAGAGGACTCAATTTATATCAAGATTTTAGAAACTTTTTTTCAAGATTTTAAAGATGGATGTAAAGCTCTTTTTGGTTTTTTATCATCAAATTAATAAGCAAAAAATAGATGAATCAAATTTTTGGGTAGTACTTGAGGTGTATCATCAACTATCATCAAGGTGATTGGACAACTCTTTTATCATTGGTAGAATTTGCATACAATAATTTGGTACATTTTTCTACTGAATAAACATCTCTCTTTGCCAACTATGGTTATCATCTACAACTTGATACTTTTGACTTTTTAAAAGTTGATAATTATGTTATGGAAGATTTGGCAAATTATTTGTAAAAGCCACATACAACAATAAAGGTGGAGTTGAAAGAAGCTCAAGAATGACAAAAAATTAATGCAGATGCCTATTACAAGAAACAACCACAATTTAACACAAGAGATAAGATATAGTTATTTTGTCATAATATCAAGACTACTTGTCATTGTGATAAATTGGACTATTGTAGGCTTAGACTTTTTCTTATTAGTGAACAAGTCAATCATATTGCTTATCAATTATATCTATCAAAGTTTATGAAGATCCACCTCGTACTTTATGTGTTTCTTCTTGAACCATGTAAAATAGTGAATATCTCAAAAAAAAGACAAATTCGACTTCTTTCTATAAAAGTAGATAATAATCAAGAGTTTAAGATGGAAGAAGTCTTAAATTCAAGGTGGCATCAGAATAAGTTGAAATATCTTGTTCATTGGCATGGATATGATATTAATAAATACACATAGGAGCTAGCAAAGAATCTTGCAAATGAGAGTTGAAGCTTTTCATCAACAACATCCATCAAAATGAAGATGAAGAATAGCAAATCATTACTATAAAAGAAACAAGTTTATAAGAAAATAACATTCTGCCTTTCTATTTTTTTTTGTAGCTTGTGTATATTTATGATGCTAAAGACATGGAGAACCAACAACTTACAAATTCAACTCAAGAGCTTTCATTCATGGACTTATCATAAAAGACATTGTTATTATCATAACCTTCAAGATGACAAAATCAAGATGAAGATCCTTAAGAATGACATGTCCTTCCTAGAATAGATGGCAAAATAAAACGTATTTGATATCACCACCTTGGAAGAGATTCTCAATGTTTGGTGATTTTATTAGAGGTAAGAACAACTCCTAACGATATTCCAAGTATTTTTTTTGAAGAAAGTTACAAAGACTTCAATAATGACCAAATAACAAGGTGGTCTTCTCACCTCAATATGGGATACTATCAATGGCTAAGAAGACCTATCAACCATCTTTGAATGGAACAAAGATTAGAATATGTGACAAATATAATTTGATGCATCTTGGATTTCTTTAATATATGAAGATTGCTTCTCATGGAACTCGTCCCTAAAAGAGAAGATAATATCACAGATACACATAGGTACTCTAATAAATACAAATATGATTAGATAGAAATAGCTAAAAATAGATAAAAATAAGATAATTTCATAATATCTTCTAGAAAAGCTTCTTAGAAGCTTCATAGAAGCTGCTTTGACTTTATATGTATTTGTAATTGATTGATAGGTTAGAAACTTGGTTAAAAAATTAACTACGTGTTGATAATTTGTAGAATAAGCTAACAATGTGGCATACATATAGAATACTTGCCTTGCAAGTTAAGATACATATCTTGCAAAGTTAACACGTTTTGGAGGTCCTATAAGACATCGCTACATAGCTTTTAATTAAGAATATATATGGAAGAAAGAGTGAAGCCTTGTTCACTCTTGTCAATGTCTTTCTAGTCCTTAGTCTTGTTTTAAGACTTTTTAATCTTCTTGTTTTTGGCAATAGTCATTCTAGTTCAATATTATATCATCTTTAAATGACTTTCTAGTTCCTTTCAGTGATATTAGAGTGTATTGAGGATTTTCTTTCTTTGAGATTTATGTCCTTGACACATCCTTTGCTATACCAAATCATAAGTAACTATTTGTCAATAAGTTTGATTTTCTATAAGTTCAAAGAAAATCCATAATCTTCTTATAAATATCTAACTTTATATCATAATTTTGTCATAGCTTCATATTTCCATCTTTAACATATATATAAAGTCTTGACTTCCAAAAACCCTCTTACTTAGTATAAAATGTCTAAATTATACCAAAATCCTTTCAAAATATTTTTTTCTTACAAAAGATTTTTTTCCCTTGAACTTTAGAAATTCATATCTCTTCATCCAACCATTCAATTTTTTTTCAAATTTCTAGATAATATAAAATTTATCTTTAAAATTTATTTCAAAAAAATAGACTATAAATATACTATAAATTATCTGGCAGCTTAAAAATCCTAGTAAGTATATTAAATCCTAATTTACAAGTACTCAAATACCATTTTTTTCATATTTCAAAAATCAAAACTCCAAATACCACATAATTTGTATATAAAATTTATCAATATGAATACAGATGTTTTAGAAATATTTAGCCAAAATCTTATTAAATTGCTTAAGATATAGGTCAAAATACAACTACTAGTAAATTGGATCAATTATTGCCCTTAGATTGCAAGTACTAATTTCAACTTTCTATAAACTCATTTATTGAGCTTAGAATTCATTAAGAAGTATATGAAAAGTGTAGCTGAAAAATTATTTTTTCCAACTCCAATTGTTGATCCTTAATTGCATTCTATACATGTGTGTTATATCCAAAAGAGTGATATATACAAAATCAGCATCTTAACTTTGAGTGCCTATATTTCTTTTCTCAAAAACTCAAAATCATCCAAATTTTGTACCAAAATCATAGCCAAAAATTTAAATTCTCTCACTTGAGCCTTCCAAGTTTTAATGACCTTAAAAGAATAATCCTAATTGCTACTAAGGCCTTTGACAACCTCTTTGAAGTCCATTGGATATGAATTTTGGTCAATAAAAATGGAAAATTTCATCATCTATTTCCATTCATCCATATGGATACCTTAACGATCCTTTTTGCTACCAAAACTCTTCTCCGAACCTTTTTCTTATAAATTTTTTACATAATATATGTCCTTAATACCAAATAAAAGAAACAAAATAAGTTTTCAAGAATCACCAATGTCTAATAAAGGTAGCTTTAAATATATAAAAACTATCATTGATATAAAATCAACCTCAATAATAAGCCTTTTTAAATTAACTACTTCAAAGTAGTAATCTTATTATATTTTTTGACTAATAAAAATCTAATAACATGGCTTGTATTACATTGTATAATAAATTATATTATATATATATATATATATGTGTGTATTATTTTCACATGGTAGCCAAACCATAACATGAAAATGTGACAAATAATAATAAAAATAATCATGGAAACTTTATTCTCGATGTTATTTTTCATTCTCTTTTATTTCATCCATCAAAGTTTGATTTATGATCTTGGCACAAAATGAGAAGAGCTAGTAAATGAGATTAATTTTGAACCTAATCCAACTAATACAAGAATTTTTTTTGAAACCATAATCTTTTGAAATAGTCTTATTGTTTTGAAATTGAAATCTTAAAAGCTGGCTTACATGATCTTTACTTTTTCACTATCTATTTTGTAGCATAAAATATGCTACAATGGCAATGATAATATATACATTTAATTTACATTAGCTTTTCAATCGTTCAAACAGCAACATGGTTTGCTATAACATTAAAATGTCTTGTTTTGTGCTTAGTTTGTAATTAAAACATTATACACTATTAATAAAAAACAATAATCTGGACTAATTAAACCTGAGGACGACAAAGGACTTAACGGACAGTTTTCATCCACGGAATGTTCTGTCCATTGCATGCCAAGTTTCTGGAGGGGATTCGACTGGTCTCATGGTGGTCGAGTGTGGAGCTCATTCACTTTTTCGGCATGCTTTTGCTTTTTTGTAAGTGCTTTTTTTTTTTTAGTGTGCAGTCGTTGTGTATCCGGATATGGTCTGGGTCATGAATCCATCGTCCGTTTGCTGCCCTCTCTCTCTCGATGTGCTGCTGCGTCCTCCTGCTCCGGCGTCGTCTGCTTGACGAGCCTTTTGCTACAATTCTTTCTTACTGCGTTGGAAAGGATCATCAGCAACTTTCCTCGGCTTGGCTTGGCTTGGCTTGCAGCTTTTCCCGGTGTTGCTTCTCACTCGCTGGCACGTACTCACTCATCTTTGTCACGCTTTCCTTCTCTCTCACTCCTAGTTGTAAGCCGTTCTTTGCATACTCCTTGACGCGCAACTCCAGCGCTCCTGATATTTACACTCGGATTGTGTCTGGGATTGCTTGGGAGCGTTTGGAACAGTATGCATGGGCTCGTGGAAGCAATTTTGATGACTGGGGCAATGTCTTGAGGCAAGCTGTGGACATCAGGAACTCTGTCTCTGTAAATTCGGTTATTGCGATTTTTGGAGGGGTGTTGTTCAACTCCCGTGGGGTGGTTACAAATCTCACTCGTCCAGTGCGAGTTGGAACCTTGCTTCTTTGGTCCAATTCGAGGTTTTCGCTTTGTCGTGAATGTTTACATGCCTGCCATCTTACTTCGTTCTTACGGATGTGGTAAGAGTTGGGAATTCGAGGTGTGCAGGAGAGGAGGGGAACTTCTTTGTCGGATTTGTTCGAAGAGACGATATTTACTTTCATGGGAGAGAAGTGGAGAGGGAGGTAGAGGAAGCAATTACTACTGGCGTCAGCTGAGTGAAATTATGGCGATGGCATCAGCTCTGCCTTGGGTCGCCCCTGCGACTCACCTCAACTTCCTGCATCGCTCTGCATGCAAGCCTGCTTTGCTATCACCTTTCGCCCATGCGCCAATTTTTTTCCGAGGCTATCACATTCACGGTGCATTATCCCGAAGTAGGAGAATCATCCCCTCTATCTGTGGGATTATTCGACAAGAGAGCTGCTCTTCATTTCAAGACATTGTCGGTGGCAGCATTTGGAGTAGAAGATTAGGGTTCCTACCTTTGAAATGGACTGCGGGCGAGAAGTTCTTAAGCTCAGCCATCTCGGCGAGTAAAAACTTGAACGCGGAGTCTTTTGACACCAGCAGCAATCTGGGCAATTTTGTTGCGCCCGAAATCCAGCGTTTGTTTGGAAGAGATGAGTTGGCGGACCAAAACGAAGACTCTGAAAGTGATGACGAAGATGATGAACTTTACTTTGGGGAAGATGAAGACGAAGATGAGGATTACGGGTTCGAAGATGATGACATTGACAACGAATTGCTAGACAATGAAGAAGACGCCGAAGCTACTGTGATTCACTCTCCATCTGAGAAGAGTATTAAGGATCGTGAAAGGCTGAAGGAGCTCTGTGCTCGGGTGGAGGCGAGTGGTGAACGCACTGTAACGGCTGCAGACATTGCCGGCCTCTATGACTTTCCTTTCGACAAGTTCCAGGTCTGGAATCAATCCTCTGTTCCTCTCTTTACAGCAAGTCGTCTCCCCTCGAGTCTGCAGTGGCAATTTGCTGAGATTGTATGTTCTGTTGTCTCGTTGCAGAGGATGTCCATTGAAGGGTTTTTGAAAGGATCATCGTTAGTTGTATGTGCACCAACAAGTAGTGGTAAGACTCTCGTAGCTGAGGCCGCTGCTGCTGCCACAATCGCAAGAGGAAAACGTTTGTTCTACACTACGCCTCTCAAGGCACTTTCGAATCAAAAACTTCGTGATTTCCGGTGCATCCTCGTTTTCAGCCTCAGCCTCGCATCCTTTATCCTCAGCACCTGATTTTCTCGTGGAAAGTTGGACGGTTCTCATGCATTGCTTGATTTTTACAACTCGACGTTTGCATGATATGTTGTATGTATGGGAGAAATCAATTGAGTATGTTCCACTTTGAATGACGTGTAGGGAGCTATTCGGTGAGGAGAATGTGGGGCTGGTCACAGGAGACGCAGCTGTGAACAGGGAAGCTCCTATATTGATCATGACAACGGAGATCCTGCGCAACATGCTTTACCAAAGGTGTAGTTCCGTGGACATCCTATGTTTAGAAGCCAGGGTTTTGGGTTTTAGGTTTGCAATATTTTCGAAATCATAATTCGATTTGAATGTTGTCTTATGGGTAAGTGTCGTCTCTTACCGGAAGTCTCAGCTTTGGAAGTCGAAACACTAAGCGGAATCTCAACTTATTTTCAAGAGTCGTAACTGTGCTGTTGAGGTTTGGTTCAGAAACCCATGATATAACGTTTTTACTCAAGATCTCGAAACCTTTTGAGCAGAAATAACGTGTAGTGATCACCATCATGTATCTCAAATCTATTTGATGTGAAGGAGAGGTAAAGTCCAAAACATACTATTGGATGAGTGCAAGGAAATTTGCACTGAAGGGGTGCAATAGAGATTACGTTTTTTTGGATTTTACGTATTTAGACCTTGTACGTGTTTACATAACATCCGTGAAGAGAAATTTCATTCGGTTGATTCTTGTGGTGCTTACAGCGTTGGGAACATGGAGGACGGGGGCCGTCTCATGAACGTGGACGTTGTAGTGTTGGACGAAGTGCACTATCTTAGCGACATCTCCCGTGGTACTGTGTGGGAAGAAACGGTACTTTTCAAGCACCCGAGTCCTGTGGCTGAGCTTTAGCATTCTCGTTGAGGGCCTTACTTAAAGTACATTGTAGTTACTCTGTAGCAGCGTGTCTATCCATAAACCGAACTTCTACTGCGATCTTTTACTTTATTGAATCATTTCTGTTAACTTGCCACTGAGGAATTTCGGTTCTTCCTTGAGATTTTCAATTGTTAACATCATTAGCATTTCTGCTGAGCAGGTTATTTACTGTCCCAAGGAAGTTCAGCTGATTTGTCTCTCGGCTACTGTTGCTAACCCAGAGGAGCTTGCCGGCTGGATCGCTCAGGTGCGTTCAAACAAGTGGCGACTTTTGTAAAAGTGCAATAAGCTTTGAACAGTACGAGAGATTCTCAAGTGGACCATCTGCTTTTGGGTTCCTTGAATGACACAATCGTGTTTCCAATTTTTTTAGTTCATGTTGTATTGTGTGGTCAGGTGCATGGCCCTACCGAGCTTGTGACATCGTCAAGAAGACCTGTTCCCCTTGTTTGGCACTTCTCTACACGCTACGGACTTAACCCTCTCTTGAACGAGCAAGGGGATGAAATGAACTGGTAAAGCTCCTAGTCCCGTGTCTGGTTTTACGTGCCAGAGTCATTTAGTGCTGAGCATTTATTTTGGCCCTGTTTTTAACACTGAAACAAAGATCGTTTGCTTCTGTTTTTTTTCTGCTTTTCTCTATTTTGACTTATGTTTTCCTCCTGAGAGTTGAATATGTTTTTTTTCTCTCGTAGGAGACTAAATCTAAAGAAGATTGAACGTGAGAGGGTTTCTGATCCATTTTGGGATGAATTGGATTATGATTCTCCCACGAGAAAACAGCGAAAGTTTCTTCGAGCAGGAAAAGCTCCCAAAGAATCTGGCAATCGCAGCGAACGTCGGCGGCGGTCGAATGGTGGATGGGGGGAAACTGAAGAGAAGATGTCTGACGAAGAGGTTCAGTTTCTCCGTCGCAAACAGGTACAATGTCTGGCATTCTGAAGTCCTCAGTGTTTTTCTCGACCCAACCAATTGGAAACATTATTTATTTGTTATTTGTTCTTGAATGAGGTGCCCAGGAGTGGCAAGAATCGTAACAATCATTGCTGGAGTTGAGAGTTGCATGATTATATTTCTAGCCCTGCTTTTCGTAGTTCAGGTTTTGTGTATGGAGAGGTAGATTTCTGTAGAAGCAGTGATTTCTTAATATGGACACATTTATGAAGTAAAGAATGTTATATATTGTGTCAAGCTATTGCTTCATTCTTTAAGCTCATCCCCTAACGGCCTGCATGTAAAGTACAAAATCTAGATATCCTCGTGCTTTATGTTACCTTCGAGAACAAGGACTACACATAGCAATATACCTGTTGAGAACTTATTTTTGCAATTCAATCTAACTTTCTTTTAAAATGGTTCATCCAGGTCCCACAAATTAGGGATACACTGAACCAATTGAAAGAGCGGGATATGCTTCCGGCTATTTGGTTCATTTTCAGCCGGAGGGGCTGTGACCTAGCTGTGCACTATCTATTGGTAATGTCCACTCTCTTTACATTCTTAACTGCCTCAACATTAATAGAGACTACAATGTAATTTTTCTGAGTTAAAAAGTTTCCTATGGTCTCTTCGATTCTTGGTTTATCTCCGTTATGTAGTTTTTTTTTTTCAAAAAAATAATTTTAATTTATTTTTACGCTTCACCAGGGGACCGATTTGTTGACAATTGAAGAACAGAGACGAGTACGAAAAGCTCTTGATAATTTCCGGGAGCAGCACCCAGATTCAGTTCGTGAAGTTGCAGTTAAACCCCTTCTGCATGGAGTAGCCGCACACCACGCTGGTTGCTTACCCACGTGGAAGGCCTTTATTGAAGAGCTTTTTCAGCAAGGTCTTATCAAAGTCGTTTTTGCAACGGAGACGCTTGCAGCAGGAATCAACATGCCTGCTAGGTATGTAAATGTTAATCACTTCTGTATCTAACTCCTACAATAGCAGTTGCTCATAAGTTGATCTTTTCTCATCTTCCTGTTAGAAGTTTTACACTACACACAGAGCAATCCGTAGTTTTTGAATGTGATGTCACATATGGTTTTGTTTTCAGGACAACTGTTTTAGCTTCACTCAGCAAACGTGGCGACAATGGGCATCAACTCTTGAGCGCGAATTCAATGCTCCAAATGGCTGGCAGGGCAGGTCGAAGAGGTATTGACGAGCAAGGACATACAGTAGTGGTGCAAACACCATTCGAAGGTGCAGAAGACTGCTGTAAATTGCTTTTTGCTGGGCCTGATCCTCTCGTTTCGCAGTTTACTGCCACCTATGGCATGGCCCTCAATCTTCTGGCTGTAAGAGCATCCTCCTAAATATCTCGACTATGTAACAATATTCAATTATTCCTAAGTGTTACTATCTCGTTACTCGTGTGTTCAAAGTTGTTATCACAGGGTAACGAATTCTTGGTCAGCTCCATGTGATTTAATAAAATTGCAGTGATATTTGTGTGCAACTTATTTTTGCCAGGGAGCAAGAGTGAAGACAACAACAGAATCAGGTGCGGTTGAGATGGTAAAAGTGGGGAGAAGTTTGGACGAGGCCCGTGCACTCATTGAAAAGAGTTTTGGCAACTACGTGGGAAGTGAAGTGATGGTAGCCGCTAAGCAGCAGCTAGCTCGATTACAGAAAGATATTGAGTACCTAGAGAAAGATTATACAGTTGATGATGATCTAGAGAGCCGTCTCACGCGAGACGAGTTGCAGGAGTATCTGGACCTCAAAGAAAAAGCAAAGGTTGGCTGAAATTGCTCTGAATTGCATTCTTTGTGCGTTTTCTCTGCAATCTTAGTTTCCACATCTTACCTATTAGTTGTAATTCTTATTGACAGGAAGCAAAACGATTCATGCGAGAGCAGAGAAGAGAAGTTGAACAGATGCGAGTGGCAATGGTGCAGCCCTTGCTTGATGCGCCCACTGATGGGAAACCACCCTTCATTTGCTTGTCCTTTTACGAGCACCGTACCGGCGAGGAGCGCCGCGTACCCGCGCTATTTGTTGGCTGTGTTCCGCGTCCGCCGTTTGTCTCGGACTTGGTCAATGTAGGTTTTCATTCTGGTTGGACTCCTGCATCTTCTTTTTTAAAGATTTTTTTCGATGAGAAGAAGCAGCTTGGAATTAGAATTCTAGGACCTTGCAAGATCATTGGGAAGTTTTTCAGCTTTTTTGGCCTTTTTGGCAGCTGGCAAGCGAGAAAGGTCAATCAGAGGAATTCAACGACAACCACGATGAGGAATCTTCTACAGAAGATGATAACGATCCTGATGTTCTGCATTACGTAGCTTTGGGATCAGACAATGCCTGGTACATGTTTACCGCGAGGAGTGTCAAGAGCGTCCATACGAATTCGGTGAATTTTGGGGCCTCAACACCTGGTGGGAAACCTGTGGAAGAATTATTAAAGGAAAAGCTTCAAGTGGGTATCCGGAAATGGGAAAACCTTGGTCGATCAGGATCTGGTCCTCTCGGTTGCGTTTGGTCTGCCGACAGCTCAATTGATACGTGGGGTTGGGGCTGTCAAGTGCCTGTGTTGAGCGAGCTCTCCGGTGCCCATGAGGTGTTATCCCTTACACTCCTTGATGCTTGGGTGCTGAACATGCTATTTAAGCACCCAAGCATCTTACTATACCTGGTTTCGTGAAAAGAATCAATCTACTGATTGGTCTTTGTAAATTGTGTTTGACTTGGAAGGGGTGTCTTGGTATGTGTACAAAGGTTGTCACCTGACCATGATGCATTGGCAGGTTTCGTTGGATCTTGTGAAGGCCGAGAGGGTGTTACTTGATCGACGGAAAGAGGCTTCGAAACTCCGGAAGAAGCTTAAACAAACACAAGGCTACCGTGAATCAAGAAAACTTGTGGATCTTCAAAGGTCACGCTTTGATAAGCTGCAGCGCATCACAGCCAAAGCAAACCGTATTTCGAATCGTATTAGTCAGATGCAGCCTTCAGGATGGAAGGAGTTTCTACAAGTAAGACGACCCGTTTCCTGCCAGAATGTCCAGCTCTCGCAACTATAACTGTTGGTTATGTATCCTCTGGAATTCCTTTATGGGTTGAAACTACTGCTAAGAGGAGCCTGTGTAACAAGACGATGGATGATTGACATGTTTGATGTTTGTTGTCAAGTTGTTGCATGGTTTTTGCTGTTTTATGACAGATGTGGTGCTGGGGCAGGTGGTGAAGGTGCTGCAGGAAGCCGGGGCACTGAAACCTGATACAAACTTGCTAACGCCTCTTGGAGAAGTAGCAGCATCTACCCGAGGAGTGAATGAGCTTTGGTTGGCCATAGTTTTTACTAGCGGCATTCTCAACTCTATTGCACCCGCTCAACTTGCAGCTGCCTGTGCTTGTCTGGTCTCAGATGGCATGAAAGCGCGGTCTAAGGATGGGCCAACAAGGTATACTTATGTAGTTGTCATCTTATGAAATTTCCTTTCATTTATGCGGATAATAGCGAGATTTTGTATTATATTGCTTAGAAAAGTGAGATTGCGTATATTAGTGACTTGTCTTTGAGTAACGAACCTCTGATTATTTTCTTGTGGCAGCTCTATCTATGACGCCTCAGATGCAGTAAATGAATGGGCCGAGAATATGGAAGAAGCCCGTTCGTGGCTTGTTAGGACCCAATCCAAACACGGAGTTGCTGTAAGTGTATTGTCTTCTTACGCAAAACATTAGTTTTAGAAATTTTTCACGTGGTGGATAATTAAGTTGTGATGTCTTTCATCCTCCAACATAAACGGTGGTTAGATAGTTACTTCCTCTAATCTCACACCATTTGATCTGAGGGAGTGTAGTGGAAGACTTCTAACAAATTTTTATTTCACCGTGGTTTTTGGAATACAAATACTCTGCAAAATCAGATTATGCTTGAAAGTGTGTTCCACCAATATGTATTGTAATTCACCTACACTTGGGCTTTATTTTCAGGGGAGACATGGCCGTAAAAAAGTAGCCACTGTTAAGCTTTTGTTGATGTTTTGAATATCTGTAATTAATGTAAAACTGCTCTTTGAATTTCCTTGCAGATTTCCGTAGAGATCAATACAGAATTTGCTGGGTTGGTGGAAGCATGGGCAGCCGGTGTGACATGGAAGGAGCTCATGGATGACATTGAGATGGACGAGGGTGATGTAGCCCGTCTTCTCCGACGGTCTATTGACCTTCTTGCACAAGTAAATTCTCTTATGAACATTCTTGACATATGAATCCCTTTTTGGCAACTCCAGAAGATTTTCTTCTTCTTCGTCTACCTTGTCGCCTTGTGTCCGAAGATAAAGCCTCTGCAATCAGTCTGCAGGGCAAGGTGACTAGGGTATTGAGTGATGGTGTTACCATTTAATATGCATTCCTCTAGTAATTCAGAGAGTAGTGTCAGAAAATTGCGTGATACAGATTCAGTACGTGTGCAACTTCACATGATTTAGTGCATTTAACTTGGGTTTGTCCCGTGTTTTTCTTTTTGTGCCAACAGATTCCTCATTTACCTCACATTGATCCAAACCTTGCAATGTCGGCTCGGGAGGCCTCAAATATTATGGATCGCCCACCCATCAGTGAGCTTCTCGGTTAAAGGCATCTTCGAGTGTCTTCATGGGGAATATCATCATTTAAACGTGGAGCTTCTCAAGGATGGAGTTCTTTCTGCAGGCTACTCATTTTGCAGGTTTGTAACTGGACGCCAAACCTCTATCTGGTTTTATTATTTCAAGTTAGTCAGAAGTTCACTGTAGTACTTGCTTGTTGACTGGGCATTCATGTATAGAAACAATTATTTCTAACGGCCTCAAATCGTGTCAGGGCTTCAAGGACTTTTGAAATGTAGTAACATGGAATGCGGCGTGAATTTGGAAGAATAACCTTGTTTGGTTGAATCCGAGGTTGGAGCACTAATTTAATGAAGCGTCGTGTTTATGGGCAGCGGAATCCTCTCCAACAATGCGGACTTCAAGAAGTGACCTAAAGAGTTTATCAAGGGGTTTTAACCAAGGAATTACACGGCCGATGCTCGGAACAGTGAGTGGGGCTTTTAATGTATCTTCATCCAAGTGGCTTGCGTTACATGCCTCTTTTCAGTGTTGTAATTGATTGATCCTTCCAGCCTCCAGTTGGAAGGCCCAACTATGATTTCTTCGCGCTCATTACAGTGCCGTTTACAGTATCGTGTAATTATTTTTAAATTTATTGATTAGAAATGGATTGTACACACACAGCACTGAATGCTACTCCGAACTCGTGTGAGCTCTGTAGCAGTATTACAATTTGCTAGGAAAGTGATGATATCAATATGATGACTTGTCCATTGCCAAGAAAACAGAGCATGAAGTTCAAGCAACTCGTGTGCAACGTTACTGCATTCCCAGCTTAGCAAAATCCAAAGCCTACTGGTGGGAGCGAGCGATTAATCTAACAATGTACGCGAGATGTAGTGTCGTAGAAAAAAATGAAAGCTGTACCAACGACACAGAATTTGAGAAAAAGTTCCTTAAATGAATACGAAGCTACATCAATGTTATCACCCTTGCATCTCTTTCAGCAAAGATGTCAACTCGTTTCAAGGTGAGATCTACCAGCTCAAAGTATTATACCAAAAATAACAATCTTACTAACTAACATCCTCACCATCACATGCACAAAAAGAACAGAGAAAGGACCAAAAAAACACAAAAAAAAAAAAAAAAAAAAAAAAGGAAAAGGAAAAGGAAATTATAACTAGAGTTCAGAATCGAGCCACACAGGCAAATGGAAACCGAATACGGTCAGTGAGCACGCTTCCGATTACTGCATTTCAAGTCAATTAAACTGTACAATGAAATCCGCGTTCGGACGTTGGCAAGCGTTACTCTCGATTGCAATTACACTAAGTGTGTGTAAGTCTGAACTCAAACGATGTGTCCTGGAACGAAGCCCCGAAGTTGAATTGACCAACTACGACGGGCCCACTGTTTCTTCCCTACCAGCAAGGGTTGACAAATTCGGCTGCTGCTGGAGTGTCCGAGAAGCGTCCAATTGCTCCTTGGCACACTGAAGTTCTTCCGCTCTTCGCTGTGCCTCCAAATCCACGACCTTCTCATCTAAACCCAGCAACACACAGAGTCGGAAAAAGCTACAAACACCCACAAAGCAACTTCCCTGCCTCAAAAATCTCAAACCCAATTGACAACCGATTCAAATCAAGTCAGAGCGGAACAGCGATTCATCCCAATGAGAATTGGACGCTGAGCACAAGCAAACCCTAAAACCCTAAGTAGAACCCCAAAACTCAGAAACTCACAGAAACCGGTGCGAATCATGAACATCTCCATGCCGGCGCCGACGCACGCACTGAAGAGCGCGACCTTGGCGTACCACCGAGCATGCTGCATGATGCAAAACCTCCAGTGTGGTTTCCAATTGCGACGTCAACGTCAGAGCCCCCGAGATCACACGGCCTCGCGAGGCGGGTCCCGGCATATCCACCTGCACCGTTTGTTCCAATTCCAACAGCAGCGCCGGAGTTGCGGCCCAGCGCGTCGATCGTGGCCTCGATGACGAGTAACCACGTCACGGACGATCCGCCGCCGCCTCCATTGTTTGCTTCCTCCGCTTCTTCATCCATATAACGAATGAATAATAAATTGATGTGCGTTTCCATCAACAGATGAATGTGTTATGGATGGATTGGGAGAGGTGGATGAATTTTAGATGGATGAAATAGATCGAACTTCTTCGGAATTCGGAAGGACAATCTATTGTAGATGAGTGGCCTATTTTTTAAGATTCAAAGGCAGACTAATATTTTGGATTACTTGATAAAGTAAAATTTGAGAGAGGATAAGTATGATTTATGATGTTTGAAAAAAGGTTAATGAGAATTTAAAGAATAGAAAAAAACTATAATATTTTATTACTTGAGAACAAATACGTGAGAGATGTAGTACATACATAATGCTTAGATTGGAATGCAACTCTATTCCTTGTTTTGTCCACTATACTTCATTAAAGTACATAATAGTAACACAATCTAAATCCTAAAGTAAACTTGGTTGTGTATTTAGCTAACACTTTAGCACATGTCACAATCCTATCTATAGAAAATTCTAGTTTTCTTTACCCAATAAGCAATTTAATTTGTGAAAAGTTCTTGGTATTTACTAAGTCAAGTATTATACAACTGTTTTAATTTTCTCTATTATTAATATTTAAAAGATAATAATAATAATAGTAATAATAGTATTATTGATTTATTTCATAAGTAAATATTATTTTTGATTTTATTTAAATAAATTTTATATTGGAGTTGATGAACATAATAAGTATTATACACATATATAGAAACACAAAATCTTTTATAATTCATTTAAGTCCTATGGTACATTAAAGTGAATGTCATTTTATTTTGGCCATATAGATAATTTTTTTTTATTTAATTATCTAACTGATTTGTATCTGAATAATATAAACTTTTACAAGCATAGAAAATATACTCACTTTTTCTAATATGCTTTGTTTTGTATTTATTAAAAGCAATATTTAGGAGTATTTACTTTGTAGTATGTCAATTAACAAATCACTTATATATTTTACTTATTAAAATCTTAATTATGTATATGTATATATATATATATATATATATATTCAAATTATCTGTATTTGTTACTGGTATATTTTTATTTAATTTCTTAGTTTCTCAGTTTTAAAAACAAAAATTGAAATAATTTGGTAACACCTTCAACTTGTTCATCTAATCCACTATGATTTTTATTTGTATAATAAACAAAAAGTGGTTGCTGAAAATGGTTAACAAGGAGCCATTCTAGGGGTGACATAAATTCTGCTAACAGATGATTTTTCAGAAAGTCCCCTTCCACACTTTCGTTGGATTGGACAGATAGTAATTTTTTGTCAACAAAAAAAAAAAAAAAAAAAAAAAAAAAAAAACATTAATTTACCACTATATGTAAATAAATCACTTCACCAAAAACCAGAAAAGAAGAGAGAAAGGAAGAAAGGAAAGAGCATGACCCCCCAACTCAGACAGCAATTCTGGTAGCCTCCTCTGAAGCTCCCACTTGGCCATGCCGTCGAAACCCATACAATCAATCCACGCTCCTCAATTCAGGCGCTCAATCCCTCACATTCCGGATCTCTCACTCCAGCATTTCCTTCCTTTCTTCATTCATTCATTCATATATATATATATATATATATATACACACACACATATCTATATTTTACCTGGAAATATTTCTAAAATTGTATATATATATATATATATATATATATATCTATATATGTATATGCTTACAATCTTGCTTTATAGGAAAGATGTCGAGTGATATGCGACGAAGTGTGGGAAGGGGGAAAAAGTTAGAAAAGTAACCACATGCGACAGACCTGGCGATGGAGTGCACCCACACGGTGGGCGATGCACGAGAAAGGAAGCATGAAAAGACACTCGATGGAGTGATGCGGAGAGACGCAGAATGTAAAGCTTCTTCTTCCCCACCGTAGCTCTTCTCCTCTCTTTCTTTCTTACCTTCCTTAGACAAAGAAGGAGACGATGATGACTTAGTTGCACTTGCGGTGGGTGGGTGGGTGGGTGGGATGGATGTGGGGTGCTAGTGCGAAGAAGCAGTGCGAAGAAGTCAGAAGATGCACTGACTGGGTTCTAGTCCAGTTCGGAAGCTGCCAGTACACAGTGGAAACATCTGCCGAAAAGAAGAAATATAAAAAGAATAATAAAAAAACACATCTAAGTCCACCCGTGCAACTAATTAGATCTGGTGGGAGAATGACGGCAGTCTGGCCCCGTCGGCTGCGGTGGTGTTGTCCCGACGAGGTGTCCAAACGCAAAGGTTCCGCCGTGGACAGTTGGTGTGGGGAGGCGTGTGAGCCGACAAGACGGCTGTCACCTCTTTTGCATCCCACCCTGACCCTCTCATAATGCACGCCACTCCACATCCAACTGGGGTGAGATATTAATCTGGACCTGTTGCTCTCAGACTTATCCATTCCCTCACCCATGTATTCCGATGTCGATCATCGCAAAAAATACGACTTAGTTAGTGGTTTCCAGAGGTGGACTTGTTTCTAGTCTCCATCAAGGGGTCATTGACAAGGCTGGATTCAGAGCTATTAGGTTGAATTTGGAAAGGGGGGGCTGTGTACTGCGGCGCGGACTTGCTGTTGCTGACGCTGGTCGTCGGCATTCTGGTTTTGATTGTGTCTACTCCAGGGTATAGTTCCAGACTGCAGCTCTCTCGGGCCTGATCATGTCGATCTCCTTGTCTCGCTTCTCTGATGCGTTTCTACATTGTGGGTCCATGTGAAGTTACGCGGTGTGTCTGTTGTTTGGTTTAGTAATGCTGTCAACGACGTTAGCGGGTTTCAATGTGTGGAGAGATGAGTTTTTCGTTTTTTTATTTTTATTTTTATTTTTGTCCTTAAAGAATTGGTTGATAAGTACTGGTATGTGTCGATTACGAATGTGATGACCAGTCTTAATGATGAGCTAGGGTATATAAATTCATGTCTTGTTCCAGAGTTGGTGCGTTGTGAAGAGCGCAATGCAGTTTTTCGGTAGGCTCTTGTCTTCGAATTACGAAATCTTAGGACCTGGAAGCAATTTTTCCAATGTATCTCTGAAGTGTTTCAGAGATTAGATTAATGATCTGGGGTTTGAAGTCTCCCGTTCGCGACTACGGTCCACACTGCGTGGTATCTTAAATTCTAGCAACTATCCAACTACTGACTGCATGCTTCGGTATGTATAGTAACTTGTTCAGTACTCAACCTCGACGTTAGAAACCTTATATTCTGTATCAGGCTCGATTTCTTCCCAAGTGATCCTCTGTGAATTTTGCTGAAGGTCTGAAAGGTTTTGTTTAGTCGTTACCCTGCGGCAACTCCATTTCTATCTTTCTTTTCGTCACGCTGCTGTAAGTCTCAACACGTCTGCGGTGGTACATCCGCAACTGCTCTCCAAGAAATATTGTTCTCGTTCATTTTAACCAGAGAGTTGTGATCCACATGAAGCTATCTAGTACTGTATCTGTGCTGAGTCCAGACAGGATTTATGGACCCAGCGCGGAATTTCCGACCCCTGTGATCCCGGGGTGCCCAGATTCCATTTATTAGCCATATTAAGTTTGATTCAGATTATGTTCTTTGAGACGAATCCAGATTCCAGACTCCAAACTCAAGAAAGCGTTTCGTTCCAAATAATTCGAATAGAAACTTCATTTCCGAGCGGCACCTTTGCTGCAACTTGCGGATCTCTATTATCTAGATGACATGACAGGATCTCAAATTTATCAGGGATTTCTGACTTGCAGTTGACACCGTTAAGATCTAGTTCGAGCAATTTGTAAACCTACCTCGTGCATTCGGTCCTTACAGTGCAGTATTTTAAGAAATAGCGGTGCACTTTGTCGAAGCACTGGCGGGGAAATCCTAGACTGATCTTCGCTTAGCTGGAACGTTACGGTGCATCAGTATTAGCTGTGGCACTTCTACGGTAAGGCGAGTGCATGTGTTCTGTTCAAGTGGGCGAGGATTTGATAGGCCTGTGGCTCATGTTTGCATTAGGTCTGATTTTTTCCTTGTAAGGCAACGAAAGACTCTGGTATGATTGAAATCTCAAAAGGAAGAGTCGTTACTATCTTCCAATGTCTACTTGAGTCTCCCACAGAACCCAGAGTTGTGAGTGTGACCATATGCTAAGCTCTGGCACCAGCCTCACTACCGGTACATAGTTTTTAGGATCTTGTTTCGACTGATAGTAATGCCTTTTCCATTGCGTAGCCGTAAGAGTAGCTTCCTCTCTTTGGGGTTGTCCCCTTTAAGTTATATTACTAGAGCTCGTGTGAACGATTGGGTGCTAAGCATCCGCGCATGGAAGCGTTAGACTATTGTTTCCTCCGACCTTAAGATGACATTTCATGTGTCCCTGGTATGCGGATGATGAATCTCTAGACAAAGTTTCTTAGATTCCATTCGGGAACTTTTCAACTGTTCCAAGATCATAATCAATCTGTATTTCTGCAGCCTAAAACTCATTATTGGTCGTCTATCCTGTAACTTTCTCTCGGAAGGATGTAGGCGTTACTTGCTATGCAATGGTCTCCGGCCTCGGTGCCATGTGCATATCCCACACCATCGTGAACGGTTTTAAAAGAGAGTCAAGCTCTGCTGGCGCACTTGAAAGGTGTCTTAAAGATTCGAGGTGTAGAGAACAGCCGTTACTCATTCATACTTATCTGCTTAGTCTTTTGGTGATTAAGTTGTCAAGGAGATTAAATCCCTGCCGAAGTTTCTGCATCGTTGGTGCTGCCGTACAGAGCCTGGGATGAACAGAAGGCAGATCAGACCTGCATATGCTTGTGCTGTATAACTTAAAACGTGTAGCTTCCAGGAAAATTCCCATGGAGTGATGTGGAACCATCACTTGCTGAGTCACTCCACAGTTGTTCAGAAATCAGACCCTCTACTGACACGAGATTCAAATTGTAAGTGTAATGGTAACAGTTCAGTTGTCTGAGCCCTGTCGTATTGTCGTACAGGCGCATACTACTGCGGCACTTACCACCCCTAAAGTTTCTGTGTGCAACAGAACCAGTCATGTTAGAATCTTTTAGTGTGTCAACAGTGGTCATGCAGCGGTTGCGATGGAGAGATGAACGAGGGTGGACGTGGAGTTGACGCCGATGGATATAATTTTATTCGATTGAGTTTGTTCCAGAGGTTTCTCTCAATCACCGAATCGTTCAGGTGCTGCCCTGAGGGTAGCAGTCCCCGTCTGCGGAATGCAGTTGCAGCAGCTTATGGCAGTAATTAGTGGGTATATATGTAAAATGGGATATGTAATCGACTTATGAAAACCTGATAGCATCATAAGAATGCTGTCTTCATGCCTGTAATCTTTCATGTCAAAGAACAGATGCCGGTGAAGCGAGTTGCAGAAGTTTTTTCGGCGTACTGTCTTCTATCGAAGAGCGCTCATGCCAACCTCTAATGCAGCAGGTTCATAAATTTCTAGGTTCTACCAATTGGATCCCACTTCCCAAAGTGGAAGCGAAATTGTGGTCGGAAAAAGTGCCAGTAAAAAGTGATACTCATTAACGCCCATGTCACACATGTGAAGTTGATCACAGGTTCCGGTCCTAGATTCTTGTGAGGCTGTACCTCCAGGTCAGTTGAGATATAATCTTTGATGAGCAATCAGACTCCACAAGGTTCACGAAGCTTTCTTCAGGATATTTTTAGGGAAAACAGTAAGCCAAAACTTGGATTTCTACATTGCAAATGAGTCAAATGTGTGTTTTGGTTGTAGTCGCTCACCCATCGGAACCGGGTGCGGATTTTCCCGTCCACCTTCATCGGGAAGTTGGTCGGAATTTCCTGTCTAATCAGCACGAGACTTGTCGTAAAAAATCTTTATTTACTTGATGTGTGATACGCCACTTATACTATTATTAAATGGTAAGCTCGCGAGGTTAGTGTAACTCTCAAATAGCTTCTTCTCTGACTTACCTACCCAGCGCTAGCGGGTGGAAATTGTATGCAGTCTCCTTGTCTGTAACCTACGATCCCATGAATGGAGGGATAAACTCTATGGAGACTACTTTGTCGGTTTAAGGGTATAGTGAAATGTTTCAATGGTTTTTGGAAATTCTAGCATGATGATAAGCAAAGCTGTTAGCTACTACGATGTGTCTCCAGCTGACTTATTCCTTTCCCCATGGGCTGAGGAAATCGTGGACTGAGTTTCTCGTTGTCCCGTTTTTTTGCTGTTCGTTTGCACCTGTGCACGGTACCCGAGAGGGATTTGTTGCTTTCGAAGTGAAGACTCTTTCACTCTTGGATTCATCACAGTAGCTATTCTGTTAGTCCTGCCGCCCAGTCGTTCGTATGAGACTTTGCGAGGGTTTATGTGTCATGTGCTGATATGTTGTTGCGGTGGGTTGGTACTGACAGATACTAGTGTAAGAGTAGCAATCACGACAAGATGAATCAACTAGCTGCCAGAGTTCCAGTAGGCTTTAGGTTCCACCCCATGGACGAAGAATTGGTGGGATATTATCTTCCGAAGAAGGTCGGTGATAGGAAGATTGACCTTGATCTCATCCAAGACGTGGATCTTTACAAACTTGAGCCATGGGATCTTCACGGTAATCACGAATCATCATACTTTAATTGGGTTGCTCGTAGGACAGGTAAAAACATTCAGAATTAGGATTTGGAGGCTAAGAAATGAGTTTCAACCTTCTATGTTATTGCAGCACCGTTGTGCATTTAACTGTCTTACAATCTACCCTAACATAGAGTTACATGCTGTAATTCAGAGTTCTGCAAGATCAAGAACGATCCAAATGAGAAGCAAACAGACTACTACTTCTTCAGCCGCAAGGACAAAAAATACCCCACCGGCAATCGATCCAATCGTGCCACCCTCAAGGGCTTCTGGAAGGCAACCGGGCGCGACAAGCCCATTTACACCAAGCTTGGCCAGACCCTGATCGGCATGCGCAAGACTCTAGTATTCTATCAAGGCCGTGCTCCTCACGGTATCAAGACCGACTGGATTATGCACGAGTTTCGTCTGGACAATGGACCTGATCAACCAGCTCATGTAACGCCCTGTCCAGCTTTTAACTATGTTTTTATTTTTTAATAGTAGTACCATACTCTTAATTTTCGTTTTACAAATTTAAAATGTGAGCACATCATCGTGTGGCAGTTGTCGAAAATGTAACAAATGCTTGCTGGATTTTGTAGGACGGCGGCTGGGTGATCTGCCGAGTGTTCAAAAAGAACAAAAACCAAAAAATGAAGATTCAGCACGAGGGGGCCATTTCTCATGAAGAACACATAGGTGCGATTCTCCCAGAGCCAGTACCCCGCTCTGACATACCTGCTGGAGGGGGTCTATTAGAAAGGTCACACCATGGAGTCAAGCAAGAGATCGTAAACCTCGATGATTATCAGCCCCAGTCTAACCAGCGGGAGTTTGGGTTGTCCTTCAACAAGGACGATTCTATCCATCGTGCAATAAAACTCATGAAACCAGACGCAGCCAACATCAACAGATTCTCGAGTAACAACGATTCTAACACAGGGTTGTGGCAAATCCGTCACCCTCAGACTTCAAGCAGCAGTGACGCCACAGAGCCGAACGATTATGAAACGATCGGGGGAACCTTGTACAATATCGACTGGAGCGCTTGGTTACAGGACCCAGTGCAACCAGGACAAGGACCAGAAGTTTTGTTGCGGTGCCCTTCAACAACGAAGATTAGTTCCGACGACGTCACCAGCCCTCTCCTCCAACTGAAACGACAGAACTCGGACAACTTCTCCTCGCTCTGTTTCTGGAACGACACCAAAGACTTTCAACAGATGTAAACGTCAATAACATCGGAGATTGATATCTCAGTTAAATGGCAGCGGTACGAACTCAATGTTCAATGGCGACTCTCACATCAACTGCCGCAACACACATGACGACCATCGCGCATCCCTGAGAGGATCATCGAGTTAGATAAAAGAGATGCTTCAATCGAAGATCCTACGCAGGTCATCGACTTGTACAGATGTCCGTCAAGACAGCTTCGATCGAACAATGGGGAAGAGCTCTCCAGGCATCTTTTGCACCGCTCGACATGAATTTCCTCCAGGTTGCAAGAAAGTTCTTCATTGCACAGCAGATCGATTCTTGTCTTGCAGTTCAATGAAAGGCCCGATCATCGATCGCGTCTCCGAAAGTCACGTACAAACAACTGCACGCATGTCGGGACTCTGATAGAGAGAGCACAATTTGATTGCATTGAGTCTTTCTCACTGAACACAGGATTATACAACAGCTTGAATGATTCAAAAGCTTATAGATAGAATGTGAGCGGTCTATCAGGATCCAAGTTTTACAGACAGTAAATTATGAAGATCCAAGTGATGTGAGAAACGATTCACCACTAGCACAGCTCATGCTCCTCTGTGAATATGTTAGTTCGTAATTAGGTGTAATAACATATCATCAGCATTGTAGTTTCGCTATATAACTTTTTCACTGAAACAAATCTTCTCTTGAAGTCTTCATTTATTTATTTATTTTTCTGATTTTGGTTCTCTTCACCAAACTGTCTGTGTTGAGCCATTTTAACTTTGAATGGGTTGCATTGTATGTGAGGCACAGTTGGGTTTTGATATGGACTTCAGACCGTTCAGAGCACAGATGATTTTCGGATCCTGCAATTTAGTGGGTCCCTTCAAATCTTCCTCCTCAACAAAGCAATCTCAATCTAGAGTCTTTTGCGTGATTGTAAGAGCATCTTGCATGATCCCGAGGTTTAATATTTGTGCACGTTTATTTGGAGCCAAGAGCTATAGATCAGCTAGTATAAATCGTATCATATGATGCCTGGTTTCTATATTAATATTCATTTTTTTTTTTTTTTTTTTTTTTTTTTTAAATAATAGACGTAAGAAGAAAAATTGAAATTAGATCAATTGTGAAAAAAAATTTGCTCACAATCGATCCAGTTTGATTTTGACTTTGATCAATCACATCAAAATCTACGTGATCTTACATACTTTAGGTGATCATATTTATATATATATATATATAGATAGATAGATATGGTTTTATTAGAGGTTGTTGTAGAATAAATATGTTTTTTTAGAAACTTATTCTTCTAAGTAAATTTTGGATCATTCAAATTTGTTTTTTTGGTGTTTTTCAATAATATATTTTTAATAGCTGTTTTTCAATAAAATATTCAAAAACTGATATTTTTTCAGAAGTGCCTCAATTGTTTTGTTTTGAATCCTATTTCATATGTTTTGACCTTATTCTAGCACAAATTATTGGCGAATGTTAATTATTCTATAGGACTAATTTGCATTAGAGTTGGATGTCATATCATTTCTTGTTGGGTAATAACACTATCATGACCTTTCTAATATAGCTGCAACTTAAAGTCATCATTATTTATTTTAAAAAATAATATACATTGAAAAAATTCTTAAAAATTAATAAGTTTTTAGGGAATTTTCTAAGAACATATCTTATATATTGTTATAGTAATTTTATTTTATGTTTTTCTTGTACAAAAAACCATCTTGAACATGTGTCAAATAGTTCAAGGATTATAATAAATAAAATAAAATAACTTTAAATTTCTTTTTACAAATGCAATATTTGAAAGTCCTTAAAACCAATTTCAGTATATTGAAACAAATAAATTTTTTCGTTCAAAATCCTAATTAATAATTAACTTGTGTTATAATTTTAATATTCTAAATCATTTAGATTTTTTCTAGTTTAATTAAATACTTAAATTTATAGATTCTAATTTAATTTTAATTTTCTTTCTTATATGGTCTATTGATTATTTGCTATCTATCTTTCCATTAATATGGCTTAGAGATTTTGAGATATATATGATTAAAAATTAATTAAGTGGAAGCTTAATATTTTGATAAAACTATCAATGTTTAAATTTATGTAAAAATTATAACACTAAAAATAGGATTTTAAAAACCACATTTCAAAGTCAATATAAGCATCTAAGAATAGCCATACACACACACACACACATATATATATATATATATATATATACACCCAGAGATCAAGTAAAAAGTTTCATACAGTTGGATTTCTACTTACAAAAAAATATACATCAAATCTACTTTTAAATTAAATATTTTTGGTTATAGTAAAACAAAGCTAGAAAGTTTGTTTTAATAACAATAATAATAATAACAGTTGTTGCCAAAGTCACAAAGATCTCTTAGAGTATAACTTCTGTTCTTGTAGTATTGTGATATTTGAGTATTTGAAACATTTCAATTGATAAGACGGACTAAATTCTCCCACCAAATATTTCTGTAATGTATTCCTACTACACCCACTTGTATTTAAGAAATATTTAATTTTTGGATTTTATATTCTCATCTTATTTGATCATGTTAGACCAAGACAACCTCAACAGTCAAACCTCCACAATGTTTGCACACAATGGAAAGGCCATGGATGGTGTGCAAGTTGTGTTTTTTCTCAGGACGCGGTGATGGAATGCTCAAGTTACTGCGAGAGAGGTGTGCAGCAAAACAGCAAGCTTTCGACGAGCTGTGGACTGATGCAGCTTGACATGGGTGCTTCTGTGAAGCTAGCTGTCCCTGTGAAGCTGACCTAGAGAAGTAGAAATGTGGTCAATGCACAGTAACTGTGGAACTAGACGGAAGTGTGAGTGCAGCTTCGACATGCAGTATCTTTTCATCTGGGCTTGCCTAACAAACCAAAGTAAACCATGTTGGGTGACGAAGGTGGGAGCGGCTGTTTAGATACTACCCACGTGGTTGTGCTCTACAAGTCAAATAACCGGCAGCCAAGTCCCTCAGAGCGACGAAGCATCGCTGGCTGGCCTCCAAAGCCAAGGTTCCTATCTGAGCATGACTTTCGTGTACAAGGCTGCTGAGGAGGACTTTTCCAATCGCGGCTGACGCGCTTGTTAAAGATTTTGCCCGCATCTTTACTCATCACATAACGGAATGATTCGCCGCCCACCACTGCCCCTCCTCCACGAAAACCACCTGAAAATGTTTACTCATGGGTTAGGGTATAAACTATTGTTGAAAATCCGAGCAGCTGATGTAAGCCTTCCACATTGGCGCACGTGTACTTCAGACAAACGGGCAATTTGTTCTAGTCTGAGTAGACTATCTGTAAACCATGAACTACTCAATCCAGAAGCACACTATGATGAATGCTTCCAGATTTGTGATTGCCGAACAGATGAAAAACTTCCACTGATTGACAGCCCGTGCTTCTCCATGACCCACCTCTACGAGAGCGTACCGACCACCCTCAGCGCGGTGATTTAATGACGACGATGTCAGATGATTGTTGTTATAGTATATTGCTCGCCACCTGAGTGCGAGGCTCGCTGCACTTTCTGTAACTGAACTTTATCAGACACCATGGGATATTCAAGATGCAGAATGAAGAGTGCATATTTGTGAATAGAAAATTTCACTTTCATTAAACATCTCGATATGCGTAAAGTTGATTAGGGATAGTCAAACTCAACCGTCTCGGGCTGAGCTGGAATGGGCGACTGAATAGTCGGCAAAAAGAGGATCTTTGTGTCAAGGAAGATCACATCATCAATCCATTATTCGCTGTTTGATAAGAACCCATTGAGCTTCAGCACTTAGAGTTCAAATCATGTTGACGAAGATGACAATTCCCTTGCTGCTGCTTAGTGTACGCCCTCTGCACTCTAATCTTGTGGGATGTTTGCACTGCAATTTATTTGAACGAAATAAGTCTCACACTTGCTTTGAGGTTCTAGAACCTCAAAGCAAGTGTGAGACTTATTTCGTTCACTGCAGAACCGAGCTAAGATTTTCGTTTTTGATTCTCAACAGCTGCTAGCAGTGATTGTGGTAGATACCGCCCGAAATGCACCCATCCAGGGTGCTGCTGGTCGAAGGTCCACCCGTTAGGTTTCGAGAATGCGACATCAAGTTTGGTCCATGGCCACCGACGGTCCCACAAGGCTCCTCGGGGTGATCAGATGTCCGCATCTCTCACAACCTTCACGGATACAGATCAAGGGCATAAAGATGCAGTGGGTTAGCTTTCTCACGTCGGACCCGACCATTCCTTCGTATGCCACTTTCTCTCATGGAACGGTGACTGCCAGAAGAAAGGCCCAGGTGCGTATCCAGCGTCATTCTATTTATTATCTCGATGTCCTCGGCAACTGCGTGATATGCACAATCAAGACCTCATACACAGTTGAATCTCTACATCGCACATGAAGACAATTCATGGAATGATCTCAGATTTCTAAAGCGTGAAATTCCACTTTGAAACCCGCAGTTCAAATGGGAGGTTAATAACCTAACAACACGCCGTTTATTCGACTTAGAGGAACCAACGACAAATACGCGGACTTGACACTATCTCCTTCATTGACAGCAACAATAATCAGTACAGATCGGGGTAATGCCGAAAATCCAGGTCCACACGAATTTTTCTTCCCAGCAGACCAAGGTTACGTTTGTTATACAAATCACAACATTACTGACACAACGTAACACAGCAACTTTATTACAAGAAGAGTATTACAATTTATATTATTTTTCAGAACCTTTTCACCTTTCTTTATCAATCACATGGGGAAGTTATTCTTACTTACTAGTTACCAAACTCCCACTAAAGAATAACTTCTCCATTGAGATTATAGTACATATAGCACTCTGACTTCAATGGAGAAGTATTAAGTGGAGTAAATTGTAAGAATAGTATATAAACATTTGAATTTCTTTGGAGTCAAGGCCTTAATATTCTACAAATTGGCTGCATTTCTCCAAATACGTAGTGCTATCAGTAAGACATGTTAGTTTTTTGGAGCTCCAACTTATAGGTCCTCCATGAAGAAAAAGAATATAACCACTCATTGATTTTCAATTATCGAGATTGGCAGCATAGTCAGCATCAGCAAACACTGTTAATATTGTTGAAGATGTAGTCCGACCATAGACAAGTTTAAAAACAAGGGTTGAGCAAAGGTAGCAAAAAATTCTCTTAATTGTATTAATATGAACATTTATAAAATTTAATTTGAAACGAGCCACATTGCTAACATTGGATCAAGAGCCTGTTGATGCAAATTGAAGACTTCCATTAGCATAAGGAAAATTTTGCAGTGAGTTTGCAGTGAGTTTTGAAATCATGAACTCATCTGTAAAAGAATGATTTCCAAGCTCCTTCAATTCACTGGTCAATAATTCAAGTTGCGCGATAAAATTGGATATAGACTGCCCATTTTCAATCTTCGCATCAAAAAAATTCTTTGTAACTCATGTATATCCGCACTGCTCTTATGCTCGTGTTCTTCAAGCAACTGATCCCATACTTCTTGGGCAGTATTACAAGTTGTTAGTGTGGCTAAATATCTTCTGTCTATCGATGATGTTAAAAGAGTTAACGCATTGTAGTCTTTCTTTCTCCACTCTTCTTCGTCAGAATCGTATTCTGCTGTTCCATCAATATGATGAATATAACCTTTCGCTTTGAATAGGTTACGTAATT